AAATTCCGCATTGAGTACCATCACGAAAACTGTATACCTGACCCCTTCTTGTCATCCTTACAGACATCTGACAAGGTCAGGATCCCTAGAAAGCTGTGCCCAAAATTTGCTCTCATCCTCTGGCATTTTGGAATGCAAAGTCTCATTTTGACCCCTTTTCTGCAGAATGTGGGCAGAGAAAGGCTGCAATGTCCATTTTGATCTATGCCTTGGTGTTTTTAATATTTAAAATTCATTCCTATGTTGTAGTTAGAGACCAGGCATAGGCAAACTTGGGCCCTCCAGGAGTTTTGGACTTCAACTCCCACTATTCCTAACAGCCTCAAGCCCCTTCCTTTGCCCCCTCAGCCGCTTAGCGGCTGAGGGGGCAAAGGAAGGGGCTTGAGGCTGTTAGGAATGGTGGGAGTTGAAGTCCAAAACTCCTAGAGGGCCCAAGTTTGCCCATGCCTGTTATAGATAGATGATCAGTCAGGAAAGAAGCAGCTTGTTATGCGGTAAACCTTGATTTGACATTTCTAGGTTTACTGTGTGGGGCTCTGCAAGAATGCATTTTGCAAAACTTTGGCACAGATTCCAAATTTAGGAGTTCAGCATTTGAAAAAGCCTGTCCTGTACCCCCCTGCATCCCTTCCTCCACATAAGACATACTCAGAAGTGTCTTTTGGCTCTCCTTGAGCACAAGAAACCTCCGAGTCAGGTGGGTTGAACCACTTCCCAGTTGGAGATGCAAGGAAGGAAAGTAAGGAAGGCAAGGAAGGACAACCATAAGGATCTAGATTTTCCAACTTCCATGCCTCCAGGGCATGTGCAGAGTGCATCAGAGTGAAACAGGCCTTCCTAGCATCTCTGACTAGGAAGGGGCTTGTCAGAGGGCCCTTCCACACAGCCCTATATCCCATAATATCAAGGCGGAAAATCAGACATCTGAGTGTGGACTCAGATAACCCAGTTCAAAGCAAATATTGTGGGATTTTTTGTCTTAATATTATGGGATATAGGGCTTTATGGAAGGGCCCAGAGATGCTAGAAAAGGCAAGAAAGGACAACCATAGGGAATCAGAGTTTCCCAAAAGTAGCCAGTTTCTATTCCCAGAACTTCAGTGTGGGGTGCTAGTAAGGCTACTTTGGTGAGAAAGCTGCCTCCCCTCCAGGGCATGTGCAGAGTGCCTCTGGGTCAGACACACTGACCTCTGTCTCACAATTGGGAAGGCTAGTCAAGACAGCCAGAAAGAGACAGAGTTTCTAACTTCCAGAACTAACTATGGTTTAGCAAGAAGACTGCTTCTCTCTGGAGCATGTGCAGAGTGCCTCTACGTTAGACATGCTTTAATTCTCCTGCCTTCCTTACTCCACATGGGATATATCTGGAAGTATATCTCTTGGCTCCCCTTGAGCTTGTGCAGAGTGCCTCTGGGTCAGGCACACAATTAGGTAAGCCAGTCAAGACAGTCAGAAAGAGGCAAAGTTTCTAACTTCCAAAACTATGCATTAGCAAGAAGGCTGCCTCCCTGTGGAGCATGTGCAGAGTGCCTCTACCACCTCTTCCACCAACTGAATAAAATCCCACATTATTTGCTCTGAACTAGGATATATTACAATGTGGACTCCCATAAACCAATTCAAAGCAGATAGTGTGGGATTTTGTGCCTTGATATTCTGGGTTATATGGCTGTGTGGAAGGGTGTGCTTTAATTCTCTTGCACTCCTTACTCCACATGAGATGTATATATCCAGGCTCCCCTTGAGCATGTGCAGAGTGCCTCTGAATCAGCTGAACTCTTTCTCAGGGCCCTTCCAGAACATCAAGGCAGAAAAATCCCACAATATCTGCTTTGAACTGGGTTATCTGAGTCCACACTGCCATACATTCCAGTTCAAAGCAAATAATGTGGGATTTTATTCAGCTGTGTGGAAGTGGCCTCAGTCTGAGATGTCAGGAAAGCGAGTGAGAGCAAGGAGTTTTTGGATATTTTCGGTGATATGGCTGTGTGGAAGGGCGTGCTTTAATTCTCTTTCATTCCTTACTCCACATTGTGTGTGTGTGTATAATATCTATCTCCTGGCTTTCCTAGAGCATGTGCAGAGTGCCTCTGAGTCAGGTGAGTGGAACTCTTTCCCAGTTGGAGATGCCAAGAAGGCAAGTGAGAGCAGCCAGAAGGAGTTTCTGGATACTCTGTGTGATATGGCTGTGTGGAAAGGTGTGCTTTAATTCTCTTGCATTCCTTACTCTACATGGGATATGTGTGTGTGTGAGTATACACACACACACTATCAAAATGAAGTTCAACAGTGACAAATGCAAGATGCTCCACTTTAGCAGAAAAAATGAAATGCAAAGATACAGAATGGGGGACGCATGGCTCAAGAGAAGTACGTGTGAAAAAGATCTTTGGTTCTCATGGGCAACAAGTTAAACATGAGCCAACAATGTGATGCGGCAGCAAAAAAAATCGATGGAATTTTGGCCTGCATAAATAGGAGTCTAGTATCTAGATCCAGGTAAGTCATGCAACCCTTCTATTCCGCTTTGGTTAGACCACACCTGGAATATTGCGTCCAATTCTGGGCACCACAATTGAAGGGGGATGTTGACAAGCTGGAATGTATCCAGAGGAGGGCGACTAAAATGATCAGGAGTCTGGAGAACAAGCCCTATGAGGAGCAGCTTAAAGAGCTGGGCATATTTAGCCTGAAGAAGAGAAGGCTGAGAGGAGATATGATAGCCATGTATAAAGATGTGAGGGGAAATCATAGGGAGGAGGAAGCAAGCTTGTTTTCTGCTTCCCTGGAGACTAGGATGCAGAACAATGGCTTCAAACTACAAGAAAGGAGATTCCATCTGAACATGAGGAAGAACTTTCTGACTGTGAGAGCTGTTCAGCAGTGGAACTCTCTGCCCTGGAGTGTGGTAGAGGCTTCTTCTTTGGAAGCTTTTAAACAGAGGCTGGATGGCCATCTGAGGGGGGGGGGGTGCTTTGAATGCAAATTTCCTGCTTCTTGGCAGGGGGTTGGACTGGATGGCCCATAAGGTCTCTTCCAACTCTATATATCCTGACTTTCCTAGAGCACGTGCAGAGTGCATCTAAGTCAGGTGTGCTGAACTCTTTCTCAGTTGGAGATGCCAGGAAGGCAAGTGAGAGCAGCCAGAAGGAGTTTCTGGATATTCTGTGTGGTATGGCTGTGTGGAAAGGCATGCTTTGAATCTCTTGCATTCCTTACTCCACATGGGATATGTATGTATATATGTATGTATATAGATAGCTAGATAGAGATATAGATATCCTGGCTCCCCTAGAGCATGTGCAGAGTGCATCTGAGTCAGGTGAGCAGAACTCTTTCTCAGTCTGAGATGCCAGGAAGGCAAGTGAGAGCAGCCAGAAGGAGTTCCTGGATACTCTGGGTGATATGGCTGTGTGGAAAGGCATGCTTTAATTCTCTTGCATTCCTTACTCCACATGGGATATGTATGTATATATGTATGTAGATAGATAGATAGATAGATAGATAGATAGATAGATAGATAGATAGAGATATAGATATCCTGGCTCCCTTAGAGCACGTGCAGAGTGCATCTGAGTCAGATGAGCAGAACTATTTCTCAGTCTGTGATACCAGGAAGGCAAGTGAGATCAGCTAGAAGGAGTTTCTGGATATTCTGTGTGGTATGGCTGTGTGGCAAGGCATGCTTAGATTCTCTTGTATTCCTTACTCCACATGGGATATGTACATGTGTGTGTGTGTGTGTGGATAGATAGATAGATAGATAGATAGATAGATATAGGTATAGATATCCTGGCTCCCCTAGAGCATGTGCAGAGTGCCCCTGAGACAGGTGAGCAGAACTCTTTCTCAGTCGGAGATGCCAGGAAGGCAAGTGAGAGCAGCCAGGAGATTCTGGATATTCTGTGCGGTATGGTTGTGTGGAAAGGCGTGCTTTAATTCTCTTGCATTCCTTACTCCACACGGGATATGTATGTATGTATGTAGATAGATAGATAGATAGATAGATAGATATCCTGGCTCCTCTAGAGCATGTGCAGAGTGCCTCTGAGACAGGTGAGCTGAACTCTTTCTCAGTTGGAGATGCCAGGAAGGCAAGTGAGAGCAGCCAGGAGTTTCTGGATACTCTGTGTGGTATGGCTGTGTGGAAAGGCATGCTTTGATTCTCTTGCATTCCTTACTCCACATGGAATATGTATATAGATAGATAGATAGATAGATAGATAGATAGAGGTATCCTGGCTCCCCTAGAGCATGTGCAGAGTGCCTCTCAGACAGGTGAGCAGAACTCTTTCTCAGTCTGAGATGCCAGGAAGGCAAGTGAGAGCAGCCAGAAGGAGTTTCTGGATATTATGTGTGGTATGGCTGTGTGGAAAGGCATGCTTTGAATCTCTTGCATTCCTTACTCCACATGGAATATGTATGTATATATGTATGTAGATAGATAGATAGATAGATAGATAGATAGATAGAGATAGAGATGTCCTGGCTCCTCTAGAGCATGTGCAGAGTGCCTCTGAGACAGGTGAGCTGAACTCTTTCTCTTTTGGAGATGCCAGGAAGGCAGGCTGTCAGGAATGGTGGAAGCTGAAGTCCCAAACACCTGGAAGGCTGAAGTGTGCCCATGCCGGAGCCAGAAGGACTTTCCCTGAACTTTAGTGTGCTCTGGGGCGCTGGCTGGGCTTCCTTGGCGGGAAGGGAGGCTGTCTCTGGCCCTGGGACATGTGCAGAAGGCAGATGCAAGAGTAGAGGAGTTCCCAAGGCTGCCTACCTCTCTCTCCCTCCCTCCCTCCCCCCGGGGCATGTGCAGAGTGCCCCCGAAGAAGAAGAAGAAGAAGAAGAAGAAGAAAGAGAAGAGGAGAGAGAAGAGGAGGAGGAGGAGGAGGAGGAGGAGGAGGAGGAGGAGGAGGAGGAGGAGGAGGAGGAGGGAGGAGGAGGAAGAAGAGGAAGCAGAAGAAGCAGCAGAAGAAGCAGCAGAAGGCGGCGGCGAAGGCGCTGACCTGAAGGTGAGGACGCAGAGCGGGCGGTAGGACTTGTGGCTGGTGTTCTCTCCCATGCCTTTGCCCCAGAAGTCGTCAGCGAAGGCGGCTCCGAGCGGGGTCCCCGGCCGCACGTCCCGGTTGTGGAGGATGGCCCAGACGTCGTCGTGCACGAACTCCCCGCCCAGGGCGCCCCAGTAGCACAGCGCCGAGGCGCCCGCCAACACCAGCCCGAAGCCCCAGCGCCCCCCACGAGGAGGAGGACGAGGAGGAGGGGGAGCAGCTCGGGGCTGCTGCTCCGGCCAGGAGGAGGCATCCCGGCTGCTCCGCTTCGCCAACGCCGCCATCCTCAGCCCGACGTTGCTGTTGCTACTCCTGCTGCCTCGGAGGCTACCTGCCGTCGCCCTCCTCCTCCTCCTCTCCTCCTCCTCCTCCGCCTGGACATGCCCACAGCAGGCGGGGAGCCTCCGGCTTTGCCTTGACCGGCGCCCGCATCGCGCCCGAAGGGAGGCACGAGCCCCTGCCGCCCCCTCTTCCTCCTCCTCCTCCTCCTCCTCCTCCTCTCCCTCTCGCGCTCCTCCGCCGGGCCAGCGGCAAATAAACAGCAGCCGCCTCCCCTCGCCATCCCTCCCTCCCGACTGCGCATGCTCCGTGCCGCACACCCCCGCCCTCCCTCCCTCTCGAAAGTGTCCCGAAAACGAGGGCGGAGGGGAGGCGGGGTGAACCCAAAGGCACTCTGGAGAATCTTTCTGCAGAACTTTCTTGTTTGAGAATAGAGCAGGTTTGAGCCAACTTGGGCCCTCCAAGTGTTTTGGATTTCATTGCCTAACAGCCCCCAGGCCCCTTCCTTTCACCCCTGGAGCAGGCATGTAGCGGGGGGGGGGAGGCTTGGGGGGGCTTCTCCCCCCCGCCCCCAATTCTCATGGTGGTTCGCGAAAAGGCCTTACTGGTACATTATTTAAACTGTTATGTTTATTCATATCATGATCTGATCACCATACTCAATATATCCCATATGCATGGGGGTATTGGGGTAATGATACAAAAGGTTTGCTAGGTAGACCCTCTTTCACTCAGACTCAGCCCCCCCCCCCAACAAACTCAGCCCACCCCCCACCCCACACCCCCAAAACAAAATCCTGGCTACGGGCCTGCCCTGGAGACTAGAATATAGAGCAGGCATGCAGGCCTGTAGCGAGGGGGTGGTTTTAGGGGTTCAACCCCCCCCCCGAAATGTTTCAATTTTTTTAAAAAAGCCTGTTTTACTCATGAATTTTAATTGGTTACCCCAATCCCCATGCTAAGTCTATGAGATGCAAAAAATTAAGAGTCCCTCCAGAGCTGCAAGCACTATCTCAAGCAAATATTGACAATTTATTCACACTGTCATTACTTGCAGCAATAGCCGATGTAGTGAAGCAACCAAGTTGGGGAGGGTGTTGAATGCTCTCATTAAGGAGGCCAGACTTGGTGGAGGTGGTTGACAGGGACGGAGCTGCAGGCTATTGAAGGCTGCTCTGCCCCCTGCTGTACTCTTTGATTCAGCCTGAGCTAGGAGGCAGGTTTAACCCCCCCCCCACGTGAAATTTTCAACCCCCCCCCCACGTGAAATTTTCACCCCCCCCCCCCCGAAATTTTCAACCCCTCCCAAAAAAAATATTTCTGGCTACAGCCCTGCAGGCATGAGACTAGGATGCAGAGTTCTGGAGACTAGGATATAGGGCAGGCATTATTGATTCATTTCAAACATTTGTACCCCGCCCTTCTCAACCCCCCCCCGGGGGGGAGGGGACTCAGGGTGGCTTACATCTGGCACAATTCGATGCCATTACATATAAATAATACATACAGTAATTACATAGAAAAACACAGTAAATTAACTTTAAAATTAGTTTTAAAATAATATGTATAATAATAAAAAGTGCAATAATACTGGCTGTCTAGCCTTATGAGAAGTCTGACTTGGACACTGAGAACTGCGAAGCCCTGGCCCTTGACCACTCCAGCTGGAGGTCAGCTGTGACCAGCAGTGCTGCAGAATTTGAAGAGGCACGAATGGAGGGCGAAAGGGAGAAGCATGCCAAGAGGAAGCCAACCCCGACCGAGACCGCCTTCCACCTGGAAACCAATGCCCTCACTGCGGAAGAAGACGCAGAGCAAGAATAGGGCTCCACAGCCACATACGGACCCACAAGAACACTGGAAGACAATCATCCTCGGAAAGCGAGGGATCGCCTTTGAAGACTGCTCAGAAGCTTCAACTAGTCCAAGGTCGGCAGCCAAGTTGCTCACCAGAGAGACATACAGGGAACATAGAACTCCTTTGTTACGCCAACTCCACTGGCTACCGATCAGCTTCCAAGCACAATTCAAAGTGCTGCTTTTAACCTTTAAAGACCTAAATGGTTCTGGCCCAGACTACCTGTCCGAACGTATCTCCTGCCACGAACCACCACAAAGTTTAAGATCTTCAGGAGAGGCCCTGCTCTTGATCCCACCACTATTGCAAACACGGTTGATGGGGACCAGAGACAGGGCCTTCTCAGCAGTGGCTCCTTGCCTATGGAACGCCCTCCCTAGAGATATCAGATTGGCCACCTCCCTCTTGTCTTTTAGAAGGAAAATCAAGATGTGGTTATGGGACCAAGCGTTTGATCAGCCTCAGGCCCTTTCCTTTTCCCCCTGGAGACTAGAATATAGAGCAGGCCTGGACAAACTTTTGGTCCTCCAGGTGTTTTGGACTTCAACTCCCACCATTCCAAACAGCCTCAGCTTAAGTGGCTGAGAGGGAAAAGGAAGAGGCCTGAGGCTGTTAGGAATAGTGAGTGTTGCAGTCCAAAACACCCGAAGGGCCCAAGTTGACCCAGACCTGATCTACACTGTAAAATTCATGCAATTCTAGTGGCCCCGTGAGGCCCTGATATTGAAACCTGGTATTCCCCTATTGATCATAATTATCATTCAGAATATTAATATAAGCTCTGGCCTCTGTTGATTACTGGGAGATATTATCACTTAGTAGCTGTATTTAATCAATCCCAGTGAAGTGTGCTACTATATTGACTTGTTTTCTCTTTATGTTTAGTTTTTATTTTAAGGCTGGTTCTTTCTGTGTTTTTGGAGAGCAACTCCCATCATTCCTTGCATTCTCACGCTCACTAAGGCTCATTGCATTTGTAGTCTACCAATATCTGGAGGCTGAAAAGATACTGCCTACCCCTACTTATGTAATACACTTAATTCTAGCTTTTGCCTTATCCAGAACCAACTCAAGGCGATTTGGAACTCTTGATATATCACAGTGGTTCCCAACCTGTACTCCGTGAACCACCAGTGGTCCCTAAGAACTAAAATGTGGTCCGCGGCTTCACCATTACTACACCGTTGCAACGAAAACAACTGGTCTCAGGAAACCCTCTTATAGTGCTGAAGCTTATTAAATATCGTTTTCTGTGGGCAAGCAGATGGAGACTACTGGATGGCATATGTTCTGTATCAGAAACTAGGACTGATGTGGTCTATCCAATACAATTTTCTGAATCAGCACCCCAAATAATCAAACCAAATCTAAGTTGACCAAAAACTGATTCGTAACTCTTTTGGTACTAATGTTGGAGAGTAGTCTCAGGTCAAAGTGGTCCTGGTCAAGGGGTCCCTGGTCAAAAAAGGTTGGAACCACTGATATATCAGGTTGTGCATGTCCTCAATGCAGAGTGGGACATAGCATTCAATGCTTGCTTGCACATCCATACCATCCTGTTGTGACAGGGACAGATTCAATTAATCTTTCATCATCCCACTTTTTCAAATGTCCCAGTTTCAATCTCCTCCTTCCACTTTTGTCCTTAACTTACTCCAATTGCTGCAAAAGTAACTCTCAGTCAATTCAGGAGGTTGGAGGGGAGAGAAGGCAGCAGAATTTTGCCCATCCCAGGAGACTCAGGCAAAAGCATATAGCCGTTCTCCCAGTGTGTGTGTCCTTCATTGGTAACTTTTGATCCGTCACATTTGCCCAAGTTTGCATCTGCAAAATGTTTAAAGGTCTGCCCGTGTTTTTATGACACTGGCCATGAAGAAGCCAGAAATGCATAGAGGTAACCAGGAAGGCTAATGGTTACTTCATATAGGTCTGTCATTCTATTTGGAACAATCCATGATTTATGAATATTTTTTGTTGTACAAGCTCTGACAGTGAGGCTGTAGGACCTGGGAGGTGGGAGGGGGGGAGGATTCCCTGCAAGCTGGAGCCCATATATAATTTTGCTGTTGGTAAGGCCTTGAGGATGTGAGGGGTGGGAAAGGTGGTGACCAAACGTACCCAACAAATACATTTGGCCACATGCACAGCCCTCAAGACGAGCGCTGGTTTACCATATTAGCTGATTCCTTGGATTTTACCTGGATTCCCCTTGGGCCAGGTTCAACAATAAGGTGGTCCCAAAGATAGACCCAATCCCTGCCTGTCCTGCCTCTGGAACATTACAAAAGCCTGGTTCTGGGGCATCATCACAAGGTCTACTCTCTAGTCCAGTGGTTCACAACCTGTGGTCCATGGACCACAAGAATTAAAATATGGTCCGCGGCCTCACCATTACAACACCGTTGCCTCGAAACCATGCGGCAACGAGAGCAACTGGTCTCGTAAAACCCTTTTATAATGCCAAGGTAATGGGGCTGTCGGGAGGGGAGAGGCTGACTACCCACATAAGATTACTACTGCCACATCAGCTCTAGATTATTAAATGTTTTTCTGTGGTAAGCAGATGATGACTGCTGGATGACATATGTTCTATATCGGAAACTAGAGCTGATATGTTCTATCCAATGTCATTTTCTGCATCAACACCCCAAATAATCAAACTGAATCTAAAGTTGACCAAAAACCAATTTGTAACCCTTTTGGTACTAACATTGGAGAGTGATCCCTGGTCAAAGTGGTCCCTGGTCAAAAAAAGATTGGGTACCACTGCTCTCAGGTTTTGACCATGAAATATCATGGAATAAGTTGGTGCTGACTGGGCAACCCTATTGGTAGGGCCTAGGGCCACACTACAGGCCCTAGAGCAGTGGGTTTCAACCTATGGGTCCCCAGATGTTTTGGCCTTCAACTCCCAGATGGTAAACTGGCTGGGATTTTTGGCGTTTTGGATCAAAACACCTGGGGACCAGAAGGCTGAGAACCACTGTCCTAGAGACACTTTCCAACCAGCCATGCCTTTCATGAAGCCTTATTCATGAAAATGCATGGCAACTGTCATTAAGAAGACTTCCTTCAAGAAGCCACAAACCCTGGTTGTCTTTCCAGTGACTGCCATACCTCATCAAGGGAGGACTTCCCTATTTCTCATGGTGATGATCCCTCAATTCTTTCTCCTAGAGACTCTGGTCTAGTGTTTGTTTTCTTTTGGGACTTTCAAAATGATTCACCATGAAAGGATCCGTCATCTTTGAAGGTTATTTCCCCCTCCTCTTAATATTGGCAAGAATTTTGTGAGCATCCGTATTGTATGTCTGTGTGCAATTCCGTTTTTTATTGTATTCAACGGACCAGTATATGTAT